GTAAAACAAGTAAAACAGATGTTTGAACTTCACTAGACTGATTTGCACATCCTTGTCTCCCAACAATAAAATACTGTTCATTTGTGGTGAACAGACATAACCTCTGCTATGAGGTTAAATAAATTAATAAAAAATTGCTATTGCAACAGCCCGACAATGTCCGGCAAACAATTTTTGTATAGGCATAAGGTCATGTGACACCGAAACTATGATTAGCTTTATGAATTATCCAATAAACATTCTGAGATACAAGGAGCATGAATGCTCTGACATGTATGCTCTCTTTCACCTCCACATTTCCAACCTAGCACTTTCTTCTAAAACTTGATTTACTTACAACTTCTCAATAAATAAATAAAACATTTTACAGTGTACAAATCAAAAGTTTTGGTCCGGTTCTTATCAAAGACCATATTTTCATAGACTTTACTGTACATCTCACAACTGTGAATTTATTTCTTGTTATTGTGCCATTGTACTCTGGAAAAGTTGGTGCAGAAACCATTTTCACTCAGAAATTTCTTGTAAATTTCACAAAAAATCACAAGTAACTTTAAATTAAACATGAATTTTGAAGTAAAAAGTACTTGAATGCAAAGTCGACAAAGTTTTGATGTATTTTGGAAAGGCTGTACAAACATTGTTACAACTTTTGTGTTGGACTTAAAGACTTAAGATGACTCAGTTTTGAATCTTCATCTATTTGTATCTGTTTGCAAATAATCAGCTAATTTTGAACATAAAAATATTTGGGTCAAATTGCCCCCAACACAAATAAATAAAGCAGTTCATAATTTCCCATATTTTATATTTTTAGTCTCTGAAAAGCTATAGAGGTTTTCTGATTTTAAATTAATCTTTAGCTGTTTTTCCATAGTGTTGAATTCTGACAAATTGCATGGAAACCAACAGAAGGATTAAAGCTGCAATTACACAGAAAATAACTAACGTATGCTTGTAGAATAAACATAATAGTATGATTATAGTCATGATTATAGTTTTTATTCTTAGTGTGAATGGGCCTGAACCCACCATAATAGTGTTTTTAATAATAATAATTCCCTCTAACCAAATTCTTACAAGTAAAAATGCAATTATGACACATTAAACTGAAACATTTCTTGCATGTTTCTCTTCATCACACTTGATGTTTAACCAGTACAGGAGCTGTATTACAGAAACTTCATCAAATAAAAAATAACAGTTATATATTATAAGAAGATCAGAAGAACAGTTTGAAGAACACCATTTATTTGTAATATAAATCTTATGTAACATTATTGGCTAAATGTCTTTACTGTGATTTCTGAGCAATTTAATGCATTATTGCTGAAACTATCAATTTCCTAATATACAGTATATGACAAGTACATCCATATAAATAATCAGAATCACACCTTACACATTAAATTAAATATGTCTTTCTTGACTTCATCTGCAAAAATGTCATCAAGTGTTGTTACACCAAAGTGAAGGTAATGGAAAACTTCTGCTGCACAACACTATCCTTGATTCAACTAAAACGAGGATGATTTCTTACTTCAGTTACTAACATCCTTTCATCACTTACTAAATTGTGAGGAGACAGCATAAGATTAAACATTAATACATAATGATCAGTGATAAGTAAATGAATATTGCATTTGAAAGAACGTGTAAATATATAAAGATCAAGTAAAGCAGGGGTTCTCAAACCTCTCCTGAAGTCTCGCCAGTCCTCTCCCTCATCTAACACACCTGATGCAACTCATCATCTCATTAGTACAGACTGCAAGACCTTACTTGGGTGTGTCCAATAAAGGAGACATACAAAATGTGCAGGACTGGGGGCACTCCAGGAGAGGTTTAAAAACCCCTGAAGTAAAGAGACAACATAAATGAAGATTTTGCTCACAGACACACACAGGTGATTTATTAACTTAAGTTAGATTCAATGTCATGTGATCACAGCAACCCAAACTGACTGTTTAAAAGAAATATGAAATAGGAACTGGAATCTAGAAATTGGCCCTGTCAATGTGCTCCTGGTGCACCTGCATCAAGCTCTTTTTCTTCAGCATCAGTATGTACTCGGCAAACTCACGAACTGCTCCGTTTCCGGCGGGTCTCTGACACGTGTATTTCGCCGCGATGAGAACAGGTGATTTATTAACTTAAGTTAGATTCAATGTCATGTGATAACAGCAACCCAAACTGACTGTTTAAAAGAAATATGAAATAGGAACTGGAATCTAGAAATGGGCCCTGTCAATGTGCTCCTGGTGCACCTGCATCAAGCTCTTTTTCTTCAGCATCAGTATGTACTCGGCAAACTCACGAACTGCTCCGTTTCCGGCGGGTCTCTGACACGTGTATTTCGCCGCGATGAGATCCGCCACGACTGAGTCACACGGGACGCCGTTCAGCCCCACCTGAGACAAGATCTCTCTGTCTTCAGACTCGGAACCTGTGAGGGAAAATATCACACGCTGCTCACGACAAATTCTGATTATTTTACAGGCTCGCCAGTGGTTTCAGGTTTGTTTACAAAACCTCACAGCGTTATTAATTAATAAAAGAGCTCCCATTTATGTTTGTGTTTACTTTTAACATGTAAGTGAAAAGTATAGTTACAATACTAGGCAGAGTGAAATTAAATTTTTCCTTTTTTTTTTGAATATTCAGGAGCTCAGGAATAGAATACATTATTTATAAATCATTATAAATAATCTCAAATATGGCTGAATTAGATTAAAACTTTTTAGTAGAAACAAATATTTTAAATATTTTAAAATAACATATCGCTTGTTATATTTTGATATATTTGCATGAAGTACATAAATCTATTTTTTATAGAACATTTGAAAACTGAAATGAGCTGAAATGCAGTAGACAAACCAAGCTTAAATTATATTTAGGATTTTTTTATTAATCATATTGATATGACATTCTCACCCATGAAGGCCACTTCATCCCAACACAGTTTCTTCTCCTTCATCAGCTGCTCCATCTCAAACCCATTCTGCTGCTCTCCAAACTGGAGTCCACAGCCAGTCAACTGGGCAACCTTCTCCAGGAGACCCTTGGACAGTGGCTCATTCACGTTGGATATGAGGAACACCTAGCCTTCTCTAGTGCAGCTCAACCAGGTCTCGGCCCATTCGTCAATCTTTGTGACATCACAAATCCTGGAAAATATGCGTTGTAGTCCAAACGAGACTTTGAGCTTTGTAACTTTGCAGACCTTTTTTTTGCTCAAACAGCAACATTACAGACTAACTAAAGTTGAAAAAGTGAAAAAGCATAATAGGACCCCTTTAATACATGTTCATGCTCAAGGAATAGTTCACCCAGAAATTCAAATTTGCTGAAAATGTACATACCCTCAGGCCAACCGAGATGTAGATGAGTTTGTTTCTTAATGGGAAAAGATTTGGAGAAATTCTGCATTACATCACTTGCTCACCAATGCATCCTCTGCAGTGAATGGGTGCCGTCAGAATGAGAGTCCAAGTTTCTTACAAACACGCAGCTTTTCTCTTCACAAGACGTTAACTGATGGACTGGTGTGATGTAGATTACTTGGATTATTGTGATGTTTTTATCAGCTGGACTCTTATTCTGACGGCACCCATTCACTGAAGAGCATCCATTGCTGAGCAAGGCAAGGCAAGTTTATTTGTATAGCACATTTCATACACAATGGTAATTCAAAGTGCTTTACATAAAATAAAATAAAAACAATAATCACAACAAAAAAACAAGGAATTTAAAAACTTTGAAAATTATAAAGTATGCTTCTGTCTGTGTTAGGAAAATAATACGTATTATTATACATTCCACAATTTTTATAGTAAAATAATTGTAAAATATTATGTATTTTCACAAATATACTTAATTAATTTTACAATTATTTTAAGAATATTTATTGCACATTTTCCCCATCATATCCGTTATTTTTTTCAGTTAAGATAAAAATTAACTTTTATCTGCTAAGAAAACGTCATTGCACATTGTAAGGTAACAATAGGTTTCTACTATAGCATTGTTACATTCTTTTTCTGTAAAAATATGGTTGCTTTTGTTCAATTCGTACACATTTCTGATGGAAAATTATAGCATACATGACAAAGCAAAAACATCACTTCATGGTTTGTAATGTTCATCTAATTTTTCCTATGTTTGAGAGGCATAAAAATGCCTCCAGGTGTGTCTCACCGGGTCTCAGTCGGATGAACTCCTGGATGGTCTCCAGTGAGCTGGACGAGTCTTTGGAAACTTCAGGACTGCGCCGATGAACTTTTGCGCCCCAGACTCTTGCGACGCGCTCGATCTCATCATGATCTGTGGAAACCCACACGCTGCCAAACATAACAGCAGAGATTTGACTTCTTCTTTTCTTTCTTCTTAAAAACCGCTTTCTATATATGTAGCCTATTTTACTTACAAAACTACAAAATAAAAAAACAGATTTAATTTAGAATAAGTATACGTTTCTGACCTTTCATGAACATTTCACTTAAGTTTTTCATACACAAAAGTCAAAGTAATTAACTACAAACTCATATTAAAGCCATCATATTAAAACGATAAAGAACAAATAAACTGTAGTTGCCTGTCAACGACTTCTGAATCCAAGGCAGCTCTCAGAACCCACGCGATGAGAGGAACACCGGCCAGACTCTTGATGTTCTTCAGAGGGATTCCTTTACTGCCGCCGCGGGCCAGAATCAGAGCCGCGCGGTGCGGCTGTCCGGTGCACCTGTTGCTCTCCATCACCGAGGAAATAACAGCGAGGGAACAGAAACACTTCACTTTATACGGACTGGACACTCCTATATGAGAATGATTTCATTAATTGATTAGATTATTAATTTGAGAGACTTAAATGCTGATGTTTGATCAAACAAGGGCTTTATACGGGTCTCCCTGAATCGCAAAGAAACCGTTCTGAAATAATCATAATCATAATCATAATCATAATCACGAGCAAACGAAGCGCTACTTCATGTCTCTCGTATCACTCCGCGATCTCTGACACTTTCATTTAAACCCGAGAACACAGTCACTGAGAGTGAACATACAACTCTTGCTAGATGTCTAGAAGCCGAATACTATCCAGATAAAAAAAAAAAACTCTCTGTAGGAGGAAGAAGAACAAACCTGTAGGTGACACAACGAGCGGAAGGAGGCAGGGAGAACTTAAAAAAAGAAGACAATTTACTTGTGAGCTGTTTTTCTTAGCGGAAACTTTACGATAGTGAAATAAAGCCTGGCGTATGAAATGATAGAAATTGAACTTTTTGAACTTTAATACAAAATGTAAAAAACTTTTTAAAAATGTGAACATGTGATTTATGTTTTGGATCGTATTTGATGCGTCAGGCTTTTATGGCTCATTTAGTAAGAACATAAGATGCTTTCATAATAGCATAACGAACTACTTACATAAAATGCATATAAATATCAGATGTCACTCTATAGATTGTCTCCCAATAATATGTCTAGTATGATATTTAAATGCTTCGATTTATGATATTTTCATTGTGGGGGCAAAACATATAATGCAATGCAATGCAACGATGATTTAAATGAACAAATCAATGTTCCTCAAAAGTTGACGTACATTTGATACTTACATTTTAACATGAATTTTCTAAAAATGAAGTATGGATAATCAAGTAAACTAAGTTGCTTCAGTCCAGCAAGTGTTCATCTTGAACTATTACTGAAGTTATTCTTACATCTACTTTACAAGAATACTTTTGGGATTATAATAAATAGGTATAAACTAGTATAAAAAAGTAATCAGATGACAAAATATTAATCATGTTGATAATTTAGAGGGCTTAGAAATTAATTTAGCTTTAAAAAAAAACATAGACATGACATGATCTATCTATCTATCTATCTATCTATCTATCTATCTATCTATCTATCTATCTATCTATCTATCTATCTATCTATCTACCTATCTATCTTCTCAGAAAAAAAGGTTTAAAAGCTGTCACTCTGGCTGTATCGTTTCAATATGTACCATTTATGTATGAATATGAACACTTTTAGTACAAATATGTACCTTTAATGCTATTAAAATGCACCCTTTAGGGGTAAATAAGGTACAGCTGTGTTTCTTTTGAAAGGGCACTGTCCCAGTGACAGCTTTTGTGACTGTATCTGTCTATTAAACAAAAGAAGGAGTGTTTGTTAGACATCATCATTTACAGTATATTGCACTCACTCACCACACGAGAGCACCAGTGTAACATGATTATTTTCTTTTACATGAAACAGCCTGCAGTTTTTTGTTGGGCTTTTATAGGGTAACAGTAATAAGACTTCATGTAATTCATTGAATGTTTGGCTGGCCCTCAAATCACAATCTCAGAACCCGGAAGGTTTTATTTCTACAAGTTTGAGCTTTTCACTAAATAAAGGAGGCGGTTCAAAGACAGACGAGAGCTGATGTGTTTGATCTGCTCTCTTAAATTACAGGAAGGGAAAGACAATCTGTTGGATTGGTAGAGTATCAGAGGCCGTGGCCTTCACCCTCTTCTCTGATGTAAACTTCAGGTAACATCAGCTTTTTGAATCCTTCCGACTCGATTAAAACAAGTGTTTGCTGACCATTCTCTCTCCCTCTCCAAATACTTCTGTTGAGAAACCAATCAGCTCTTCACGACGGTTCATGATCAGATAGCAGCGAGCAATTTATTTAGAGCAAACTGTCCACCAAACATTTAATTTCTGTGCCCCCCGTCCCATGAAAAGCAATTTATTAGCTGCCAAGACAAGAGAACCAGTGGCTTTTAAGAAGAAAAGAAAGATGCGAATCTCCTTACGGCTACAGATTTAATATCTGTGGTGAGGGAGATTCAGACTTTCTGGATGTCAGGAGTGAATCCACACCAGACCGCTCTGACACACTGCATTGCAAGCTACGGGTGCAAGACACCACGTCTCTTCACTCGCAATGAAGATACAACGTTTTTGGATCTTTTTTTAAAAAAGCCATTGTGTCTGTCCTGATTCACTTTGTTCTTTAAGGGGCATTAAAAAAATTATGGACCAAATTTAGATATGTAACCTTATAGGACTTTTAGTATCTACAACAATAGTTCACTTGTCAATGCATACAAATCCATCCATCAATCAATCAATCAATCAATCAATCAATCAATCAATCAATCAATCAATCAATCAATCAATCAATCAATCAATCAATCAATCAATCAATCAATCAATCAATCAATCAATCAATCAATCAATCAATCAATCAATCAATCAATCAATCAATCAATCAATCAATCAATCAATCAATCAATCAATCAATCAATCAATCAATCAATCAATCAATCAATCAATCAATCAATCAATCAATCAATCAATCAATCAATCAATCAATCAATCAATCAATCAATCAATCAATCAATCAATCAATCAATAAAAAAACAAACAACCTTTAACATATTTTTGTATCTACTAAATATTAAATGTTTAATTATTAATAATAATAATAATAATAATAATAATAATTTGAAATCTGAATTTAAAAAATGTACCAAATTTAGACATGTAAACTTGGACACATTTTTGATCTGCAATAATAGTTAATGCAAAATAAAGAATTTTTATTTGTATTTTATTTATTTTTTAATTTAAAAAAAAATATTTGAAAGCTGCATTTAAAAAATAATAATAAAATTAAAAAAAACAATTGATGGACCAAATTTAGACATCTACTGTAC